ACACACACACACACACACACACGAACGAGTATGAGCCAGTCTGGGCACCACTGCCCTTTGAAAGCTAGTAAGCAAAGCTTATCTACATGTGATAGCACACTCCTGTACTCACAGCTATTCAGGATTCTAAAACAGGAGGATCACAAATTCAAGGCCAACTGATAAACTCCACAAAACCAGTTTCAAAGTAATATTTTTTAAAAAAGAAAGGCACCATGGTGTATGCCTATAATCCTGACACTTAGGAAGCTGAAGCAGGAGAATCACCACAACTTCAAGGCTAGCCTGGACTACACAGTGAGTTCAAGGCCAGGACTATAATACTCTGTCTTTGCCTGCCTGTATGGCAAGCCCAAGTAAATGAGTGCGATCCCTCCATACCCCAAAAATACCATCTCAAAAACAACAACAAAAATGTAAGAAGGTCTGGGAATATGGCTGTGTAGTTTACAAGAGGCCCTAGGTGCAACTGCCAACACTGAGGAACAAGAGGGGTGGAGAGGCTGGCATTTGGCCCTAACTGCTCTCTAATAGAATCCTCTGATCTTCAGAGGTGAAAAGAAAGAGTTTAGAAACACTGTACCTGTGCCCCACGGCTGTCATGGCTAAGGCAAGGTAACAGCCAATGGGCAGGCCTGCTTTCACAGCCTTCAGGAGAGGATGGAATGTGGGCGACTCCGCCATGTCAGGCACTGTGCTGGAGAAGGGAACAGCTGGGTCTTTCTGCTGTATTCCATAATCGTTTTTGTGTAGTTTTAACCTCAAGATCAAATTCCAAGCCCACTGATTAAATGAGGTCTCAGGAGTTTCTCCGTATCGAACAATACTGGCCAAATAAGAAACCTAAAACAATTATTTTACATCACATTAGTCACAGACAAATTAAATAAGTACTCTCATCTCTCATCTCTTTTTGTGATCAATAATGTCTTTGAAAGAGAACAATACCCTCTCTGGCCTTCAATTAATGTTTTTCATACTACACTAAAGTAACTTCTCACTTCCACTTACCTACTAGTCACTTCGTAAACCTGATCTTAACCCAAGCACCAAAGAATATAAAAATTAATGCTCAAGGAATGATTTGTTGATAAGTAAGTTTAATAATCAGGGTTAGGGGCCGGGGAGCTGGCTCACTGGAATAAGCGCTTGCCTGGCAAGCACTGGGGCCTGAGTTCAATCCTTGGTTCCGCAAAAAAAAATAATAATCATCATCATCATCATCATCATCAGGGTTAGGGGTCTCATTTGCAGCACTGCAAATTTAAATGGTGCAAAAAATCACAGAGAAACCACTTTCAAGCTACCAACAGTTATTTTAAACGCAGTTTGAAAAATTCCTAAAATGTAACACTTAGCTCTAATTCAGTACGAGTGAGCTCCAGCAAATCACTATAGTTCAACTTAAATTCTGTAATACCAAAATTATTATAAAAAGAGTACATATAACAGAAAAGGTCTTTACACATTGAAGCCAATTTTAATTATTTTAAGTTGCCGGGAACGTTGTTAGAAAACCCAAGGATTAATACTGTAACTCCATCTGCACAGGCCATTTACAAATGAAAATTTATGTTCCCAATACACCAGAGAAGGAAATACCTGCTTCATGCTTTCAGAAATAAGCCCAGCATATGGTTTCTGTGTAAGGTACTTCTGATAAGCTTCAAGAATCATTAAGGCCACTTCAGTATGGAGTGCTTGATCCAGATGAAGGGTACCCTTTCAAGGAGAAAAATGATCACAACCATACCATCTTTTGTTTGCTTTTTGTAACTTTGAAAGAATTAAACAGAATCATATGAAATGGTCTTGGATGCAGAAGCTAAATGTTCCAAAAATCATAACCCCTAACAATGAAGTTATGAAAAAATGAAATCTAAAGAACAATTACACTGCATCAAATAGGTGTGACCCTGAGTCATCCATCCCCAACATCAGCTGTAAAAAAAAGCTATCTAAGTAAAAGCTTCCACTCCAAAACAGAATTCTGCAAAGACTTTGGGATATAATTTAAGGGAACTATTAAAAATGAAAATGTGTATTATTAAAAAAAAGATATTTAATAGATTAAGTTTCCATTCCCTTTTCCTGTTCCATCATCAGTGAAAAGTTAGACATTCAACAACACAGGGAAGATACCACTTCAGGAATCTGAGGTTGTCTATGGAATTTCTCACCCATCCTTTACAGCTTTTGAATCTACTCCCTAACCCTCCCATAAAGAATAACTTCTCTAATCCTAAGGGGAGTGAGAAGACTTCACAGAGGGGCCTTCATGCAGCTTTCTGAGAGTGGGAAGACAAAATGTGAAGATGGAGAACAGCCCCTGTGGCTCTCACCTACAAGCGCTACTATGAAAGCAGACCCAAAGGAAGCTACTAACAATCTCAGGGAGTCAGAAACAAAGTTCTGCAGGCCTCATTCTAACAACAGGCATCATGTTAATTTAAAATCCACAAAACAGCTGCAAGGATTTAATGATTTGCTCAGAATAAAAGCTGTCACATAGCTGTAAAGGGCTAGATTCTCTCCAATTTTCCCTTTAAAATGTTAATATTTTCATCAAGGAGCCAATTAAAAAGACCCATAATAGGACAGAAAGCAATCAAAATATACTTGACATAGCATCTTGGGAGACACATTACATATAACAAACCTTAATAATAAATTAATAACTACAACACTGAGTAAGTAACATAAGAACTGACCTACATGTTTGCATGTCCTCACTTGTTAAATCCTTACAATAACCTCATGAGGTACACCTATTAATGTCAATGCTTACAGAAGACCAATGGAGGCCCAGACCATTCAGGAAATTTCCTGGTCACACAACTGGGAAGTAGTAGAGCTGGGATGAGGATGAGGCAAACTTGCTCAACCTCAGTCTCATAATTAATACACAAGGCTTTTGAAAACAACGCTTGCAGGGGACGGACGGACACACACACACACACACACACACACACACACACACAAACAGGACAGAGAGAGGGAGAATAGAATACAGCAGAATTCTGGCAACTGCAGGAGGAAGAGAAACCAAGGAAAAGACAGGCAATTAGGAGGAATTATAGTAACTAGACTTGAGAAAAATCAAGAGCTCAAAGCAGGCAAAGAATAAAGCGATGAATTTTCAACATGGAACAATGCATCTCCATTCACAAGATGTTCACTCTGCAAGACAGAATTAAAGAGCCTAATCTCAGACACAGCTAAAAGCATTTGTAGAACTTGCAAATGATACCCAAATGTTGACAGGTTTAAAGAATATGCTTCCTTAAAATAGAATCTCCAGTTTCTACAGAAGTTTTTCACACATACCTGCTCAACAAATCCCCAATTCATTCCTTCTAGAATAACACAGGCCAGTTTATTCCTCACTGCTGTCAGGCTGTGATTCAATAACCAGTCCCGAATCACAGCTATCTCAGAAGCAGAAGGTCGCCAAAGATACAAAGGCAACTCTTTAAACAAGTATAAAGACACCTTATTAAAAGAGAATAATAATAATTAGAATCAGGACTGAGAGACAACTCCATATTGCCATAATGCATTTTTAAACTGTAAATGATTTTTTTTTCCAAGAGGAAACTAAACTTTTAAAGTGAAACAGAAATTATAGATAAGTAAATTAAATGGATGCAAAACTCTTGATACACCAAAAGCATTTAGCAATTCTTTCTAAAGACCTGTAATCTTTAATATGTAAACTGATATCCTTCCATTTAGCTAAACCACCATTCTAAGACACAAATTCCATTAAAGCTAAGGGAAGGTCATCATTTTATACACACATAACCCCAAAAAAAGCACTTTTTTTTTTGACATTTTTATTTTTATTAATATTAAATTTGTAACTACATGTTGTAGTTTATTTTATTGCTTTCTAAAACTTATATACACATTAGAAGAAATTCTTTATCAAATCATATTACCTTATGATTCACAAAGTATACTCATAAATCTATGTAAGAAAGACTATAAAGACAGCCTTCCATAAAAGAGAATTCCACAATGATAACCATCTTATCTAGTGTAATATCATTAATTATTGTCATAGCAAGAATCAAATTATTATTAATCTTTTTTTTTCTACAGTTTTATTGATAAACATATAGCAATGAGACAGTTTCAAATCAAATCGGAAGTACAGTTTCAACAAATAATACACTGC